CCCCCCCCCCCCCCCCCAAAACATTATTATCTTTGAAAATAATTAATTTTGGAGAGTTGAATCTCCTCGTCTAACTTTACAAGATGATCTACAAAATAGACGAGAGTAAAAAGATGTGTTGGATATTATTTTCGACTTGATGTATCGGAGAGCTTGCGTGACTACAATATAATACGTACTTTGACACGTGTCTAACCTTGTATCTAAATAAGTATACATCTCATCTCCAACACTTGAAGCTTTAAATAAAATGGTTCTGATAGTCTACACGTGGCTTTTAAGTTAAACTTTTAAATGAGATGATTAATCAAGACGTGATCCTACTTTCAAAAAGGGTATTGAAGTTTACTTTCATCCATTAACCATTCATTTTCTCAAGTATGGGAAAAAGGGAGAGAGAGGTTCTTTTGGAAAGTGACTATTAATGGCTTCAACCATTCTTTGGTGTATGTATGAAGCCGAGAAAAACAAAATGAGGGAATTTGCATTCACATACTTTGAACTTACCCCATAGTTAAAAAGTTTTCACTATTTCTATGTTAATAGTGTAAATGAGTTAAGGGTAACTAATGTACAGCATTGTACTTCAACTTCAAGTTGTTTGAGGTTGAGTTCATATGTTAAGAGCGAAGCGTGTACAAGTTTTTAAAGAGTACTGTATCGATTAATTTACAATATATTAAAATTTGTTTGTATTCATAATCAAGTTAAACTCAAATATCGAACTTAGAAAGAAAAAAAAATACCAATGGAGGTCACTTAACTTTTTTCCCAACTCATCGTTGAATTTTGAATTTCGTATACCAATAACAATTCCATTACAAAAAGTAATATCATTTTAGAAGGACTTTCTCTTATGTGTACAATATGAGCATTAATGAGGCTCGTTAATTGTTCGATAGTGCAATAATAACATCGTGTAAAGTTTTTGTTTATAATTACACGCTATTGTCATGACTTTCGTGTAAAAAGTGCAAGATTACATATTTGTCTAACCCACGCAAAACACAAACGTCAAGAAAGGTTTACTAAGAAAATATGTCTACCGCGTAAGACAGTCGTTATCGTAATCAAACGCAACAAAATTGAAACTTCAAATAATTAATAATGAAGTTTGGTTTTAGGGTTTTCACATTTAACCCAACATTGAATTGTTGAGTTTATTGTACTGAAGTCATGAAAATATTGAAGGGGTTGGCATGTGACACCCTGCTCACCATCACTCATTACTGAGTTCATTTATGGTAAAAAATGAGAAACGCCATGATATACTTTTATGAAATTTTTGACCTTCTATTCATATGTGGGGTCTATAAATAAAGCAATATCCATTGTCTTTATGTTGCACTTCGTGTTACAAAATTTTATAACCAATATCTTTGGTGAAAGACAATTTACAAAAAAAAAAAAAAA